TTACTCTAAATGGGACCATAATTTAACTAAATGAACATCATGCTGTATGGAAGAAGACTTGAAACTAGTGATTGAGACCATAAACTCATTAGGAAGCTGTTTACTGGCATAATAAATCAAGTCAGAAGTCATTTTATTTTCAACGGAGCTGAATACAAGCGCAGGTCTTTTTGCAACCAATTGAGCTACCCCCGCTGGCCAGTTCTCAGACCCGGAGGCTCTGTCCTCTAATTATATACTGTCAATGACTGGTACACACATTCATGGTTCCCAGATGATGACTCATGTTGACTTTAATCATCCTTTTGCTGCAGTGCCACCACAAGACTGAAATTTGCATTTAGCTCAAAGCACCAGTGTTCCTGGATACAGCCTCAGAGACCATGGCTGACCAAATAAAAAGAATAAAGAAATGATTCGATTATCATGAGGCTAAATCTTAAGTTACAGGGAGCAGATTGGGTCTACATGGATATATGGACATGTATCCTAAAAAGACCCAGCAGAATGTCTATGATGGTTGTGTACTCTGGGTTAACACAGTAAAAAGGGGTGTGACTGAATGTAAAGCAACATGCATTTACACCAAGCGCTGTTTCCTTTAGCCCTGGTTCTTTGAGCAGGTTAGAACAATGGCATCTGAACACTAGTGGCAACAAGTCGTAACACAGAGAGAGCAAACACAGTACAGCAAACCACCCAACAATGGATTACGGATTATGGGTATTACGGAGATAGATGTTGTCTAGCTATTCATCACACTTGCAAAGCCTGGCATGTCAAAATAACCTGTCTGGACAGATGATCGTTTTAGTTAGTGTACAGTGTTTTCACTGGCATGAAAATTGCAAGCACAGACAGACTCACTCAAAACCTAATGGAATTACAGGTTACATTAAAATACTTTCAGTCTGTAGCAACTAATATTAGGACTTTCAGCACCACCACTCCATTCAAAGAGCAGAAGCTTGGCACTGAATCATGAAGATGTGACGTTAATAGGCATGAGTAGGTGCAAAACAAAAAGATTAGTGAAACACCCATTAACCCATGAAATTAAACGCTACACTATATCCTGACAGTAGAACATGAGACAGATAATCTGTGAAACAATCAGGTGCCTCCTAAACTTAGCATCTGACTGTGAGCCAGAGCCTACCACATACAAAAATGAGTTTGCTATAAATCTTAAAATTTTGCAATTTCAAATAAACGTATAGCTACGTGCCGACACAGCCTCTCCTCTCTCTAGCAGGAAGTGAATCACATGAGAGGAGGACAGAGGACAGAATGAATGACTGATACTGACTGTTTATTGGCATTTGCTTCCAGTGAGATATTAGAGTGTTTATACATTGGCTTTGCTGTTGTAAATGTTAGTGTTAATGCTCTCCATTTAATTATGCCCTATTTAAAATATAAATTCCAATCCTAGTCTGAATTTATTATTTTTAAGGATTGATTTTATTATGACTATTTTTAAAGGAATGACTTAGAAATTAGCCGATAAGAGTATTGATAAAGAACCGGTAGACACCAGTAAAAAAAGTTGAATGTATTATTGGGTTCACCTAAATGATGTGATGTCATCAATGTAAAAAAGTTAGTCTGGAGCCTTGAGCAGATCAGAAAAACACTTCCTCCTGGTAATAGAGTGCACTTGTCTTTGTAAACTTTTAGCCCTAAAATGGATCTACCTGCAGACTAATTTCAATGATTCCTTTTTTATACTGATAAAAATCAGCTCATAACTCTGATACATTGACATTGATGTGTAAGAGTAAGAGTTCCATGTACATTACTATCACCTAACCATTGCACCAAAGGCATAACTGCAATGCACTGTTGGTGATTTACACCTCTGGAGTGACCATTGGTGTTGACTTGCTCAATCAGCCCTCCGAGGAGGAGGAGGATCTCATTAAGGTCACTTGAGTTTTTCAGACAAATGGAACAACACTTGATGGTGGTGAGGACTGCCTGAGGGGAAGTCAACGAGGTCTGTTGAACGACTAATGAAACACAGTGTTAATGTTGGGGAACAGGGCCGAGTTAAAAGGGAGGAAAACAACCTTGCCATACAACTTTATGTACAAACCCTCATTTAGGAAGGGAATGGTGAAAGCTATGTGAGACCCTCAGAGAAAACAAATATTAGTATTTTTCCACTGACGGTTGACAGAAAGCTTTCTACAAGCTCACTGAAGTTGATGAAACACAGACACATATTCACTTGATCTTACCTTATTGAAGCCCCGTAGCCCTCCGTGCAGTGCATTAGGTCCATTATTGATATCCAGTTGGTAGTCTTTTCCCTCCACTACAAAGTGTCCCCGTGCGATCCTGTTGGCCACGCGGCCTACCAGAGCTCCCAGATAGCGCTTATCTGAGACATAACCTGACAACACAACACAACACTTGTTATTCCTATTCACCTTCATCACATCATGCCTGACTTACATACTTGTATGTACTTACATACATACATACTTACAAACAATAATTTAAACACTGGTGTTAACCAATACTACAACAGTGATTAAGATGTTAGTTAGTTGAGTTGAGATTTGAATGTTTTAAACTGCTAAATTGTAAAATGAAGGTTTAAACGACTATTGTTATAAAGTGGGGATATACTGCTGCTAAGGACTCTGTAAAACCAGTCCCAATCCACTCAGATCACAACAATTTCCCCACAGTATCCCACGTGAGTATCCCACGGTGATTAGGCATTACAGGTGCGATGGTGTTTCACTTTGCCAAAGATGTCTTTGCAGTTAGTTTTTAAGAAAAACATATTGATTCAAATCTTAGATTGGGTGTGGCGTGAAAAGCCAAGCCCTAAAAGCAATACATTATATCTGTAAAAATCATAAACACGAGAAACAATTGATCAAGCCTCGGTCAGTTTTCTATTTTCCTGTTCTTAGATATGCTATATGCTAGGAGGCTAGTCTGTGCTGTAGATGGCTAAAAGATAAAAGTGATATATATAGATATATATATATATATATTAGTCACATCTTAAGTTAGCTAATGTTAGCAAAATGCTAGTTAACTAACGAGTAAAGTGAATTAGCTAGCTTGTTAGCTAAAGTTTTTCTAAATGTGCTTAACTGTACAAACAGCATAGAGCAAAAAGCATTTAGGACACAACCTTCTTACCTATTTCTGAAATCTAACCATTTTATTCATTTTGATTATTTTCCTTCCTACCTTCCAGGTCATCGTAGCCCAGGACTACATCTTCCATCTGACCATCCTTCCCTCTGCTGCACACAGACCTGATGATGGCACCCAGGGTGAGAACCTCCACCCGCACCTGGGAGGACTGGAGGACCCACAGGTCCACACCACCCAGGCCGGGCACCTCTCCCCACTGCTGATGGCTTACCTGAGTCATCTTGGACCTTAAAACAACCACAACAGGGACGTTTAGAACAGGACATTACATTAAAGGGACAGTTCACCCCAAAATCAAAATGACATATTCTTACCTGTAGAGCTATTTATCCGGATAGATGGTTTTGGCGTAGTTGCTGAGTTCTGGAGATACCTGCCTTCTCTCTCTAATATAATGGAACCAGATGGCACTCGGCTTGTGAAACAGCAACGTCTCTTTCCAGAAATCATGACCCGGTTACTTTGTTGTGAACTATTTTCTATTTTTAACCAAACTACACCAGCCTACTGTAGAATCTCAGCGGGCCAAGTGAGCTAGCTATGTGATATATAGAAAGAAAATAGTGCCTATTTGAAACTCCTCACAACAAGGTCTGTGGATTCTCTTCAGTAAGTTTTTCTGCGCTTTAACAAAGAAAAGCAAATTTGTATTGTTTTACAGTCTATACCCTACCTCAGAAATAAAAAATATTCTTTCATTTGATTTTGTAGATGTTCGTCTGAGAAATAACGCAAAGCGGTTGGAGGCTCGTTTGTACCATCTGCCATCAGACTCCACAACGCCACAGCACCCAGTACCTCCAACCCCCGCTGACTAAGACGCACAAACTTTTTGCACAACTATTTATATTTAATTTCTACATGTACAGTTTAGTTTTTAGTCAAGCTGCTCAAATATTTGCACACCATTCTTACTTGAATATTTGACGGTGTTAATACTTTCATTTATAGTCTTTTAATTTCTATTATATCTTGTAATATTTAATTTTGTGATATCCTGTTGTACCTCCACTTCTGTACTGTACTTCAATAAAGGTACATCTTATCTCTTATCTTATAATTAGTCTTGAATCTCATTTTGTTAAGAAAATCGTGAGAACATCATATTGTGAACAAAGTACCATGAATCGGTTCAGTGTATCGTTACATCCCACCAGACATATCTGCGGCTGATATTTTCAAAACTCAGCAACTCACACCAAAATGATCTAGATGGATAAACAGCACTATAGATAAGAGTGTATGTATTTTTTGGGTGAACTGTCCCTTTAAAATGTTTTTCCTTCAACAAAAGGCATTAGGTAACAGGGTTACTGAAGACATTCTGACCTCAATCTATAACTCATAGGCTACATAGTGACGTACTGTCTGTCCATGTGGATTGACAGTATGTTTACATGCATATACATACACTAAGAGTATAGTCATTCACAGTGAATATGCTTTTTTTAATGAAAAGGTGTCTTTTAACGTGCCTTGCTTTGCCCACTAAGGCTACTAACCATAGCCTGTTACTGCTAGCTCCAGTATGCTATTAACAGGTAAACACTGTGACAAGTCCAGCTGTGGTCACTGATATCCCGCTGTGTGGACGGTCGCTGACTGCTGTTACAGGACGGGAACTCTTGCCAACCAACATACCTCAACGACAGCTAGCTTCAACAACTGGGACTCACACTGTCTCACCTGAAAACGTTTTATCAACTCAGAAGACTTTACACCTTCACATGTTTACATTCCACTTCCGCCTTCTCCCCCGCCCCGCCTCTTCCTCTTCTTGGCAAACCAGCTTGTAGGTGCATTACCGCCACCTGCTGGACTGGAATGCTGTAAAGATGTCTGCCGGTGTCACATGAGTCCCAGTATCCCTGCCAAGTTTTGTGTATATGATCCTTTATCAGTGTTTAAACCTCTGCTTTACTTAGTGGTACTTGTATGTCAGTTTGCTGCCGTTTTATTGATTGTTTCCCAATATATCCACCTTCTCATTTCCTTTCACCTTTACATGAGCAGGAACCCAAAGGAGAGACCCAGTCCCCTATAATGTTGCCCATATAGTATGTGAGGAATTTTATAAAGTATATCCTGTCTGCATGATGACTTTCCTGATTTGATTGCAGAAGCAATAACTAAATTGGATTGATTGTTTTTTCCACCCATTTTAATGCTAACTATTCGCAGTAAGTCAGCTGTGTACACTGCATACCACCATCTACAGTTCCTTAGTATGCAGAAATTTGGTTTTACGCTACTAACAAGCAAACAAAAGTAAATAAATAAATTAAAGCAAATCAACCAATTAAATTAATCTTGGAGCTGGATTTTGTAATAAAACCTATCCATTCTGAGCATCCTTCTCCTGTATGTCGGTTCTCTAGGCTACCTGTCCTCCTGATCCTTGGAGGAGCCGTTCCCTCTCTTTATTATATATAATGCATTATAGTATAAATGTAATATTTTCTATTGTTTACAATGGGAGCATTCAGGCGAAGATCTTCTGGATGTACCCAGGATTAGACCCAGGTCTGATGAGGGTCTTTACAAACTGACAGCTTTTCTTTTTCCTATTTTATCAATCATAGTAGTAGTAGAGTAGCATACAGGAACATTACTAATAAGGGTAGGGGAGTAAAAGGTCCGGTGTCTAACATCTATAGTCAGAAATGGAATATAATATGCATAGGTATGTTTTCATTAGTGTATTATCACCTACAAATAAGAATGATTGTGTTTTTGTTACCTTTTAGCGTTTTTATCTACAGAAGGAGCGGGTCCTCTGCCATGTTAAACTGCCATGTTTCTGTCTCAAACACTGGCTTTCTCACAGCCACCATAGTTTCTACTACAAGCCTGGAAGGCTGAGCTGTATTAAAATGGTTGCAATCTGCAGCTTCACCACTAGATGCCCTTAAATCCTACACACTGGTCCTTTAGAAGTATTTTCCAGCCTGTGTTCCCTGCCTCAGGTAATGTATCTCTACAGTGCACAATAATGTATTCAACATCTTCCACCACTGACGAAGATTTGAAGGACTTTTTCCCATTAAATATAGCATTAAATTAAAACCTGCGTGTCATGTATAGATCACCTCTTCTCTCTGATACCGTCCTTTAAACTGCCTTTAATTACCAGACCTCTGTATGCTAATGTCTCCCTTTATTGTCTGAAACCCATTCCTTCTGCCAGGCGTTAATCATGGCTGTTCTGATTACAGCTGCTTCTCCCCTAACATAAGCTGCTTTTATCACTTCATCATTGTTAATTTTAGAACTTTCTATGCTAACTTATCTTTTCATTTCTTTTAACACCCATATGAGCAAGGATCCAACAGAATGGTACCTCCTTTGTAGACTCCAAAGCGCATGCTGTGTATTTCTACATTGCTTGCTAGCCCTGACAGCTGCCACTGAATCTGAACAAATGATTGTTTTTAATGGCTGCTCCAGCCACTGAAAGCCAAGAATGATTGCGATAATCTCTTCAGAAAATATGGACAATTATAGTCTGTGATACAAAGTTCAAAGTTAACTTTTATATCATTCTTCAACACAGGGTCACAGTGTAGTTTAAACTGTAGTCCCTTTATGCTACACACAAACCTCCAACTATATTTTATGTTGGAGTGTGGAGGATGAATGAGGAGTCTCGCAACCAGAGGGAAGAAGTTACTCTGTAGTCTGGTGGATACCTCTGTATCTCTTGCTGGAATGCAGCAGCATGAACCGCTTGTGGCTGGGGTATTTTTGTCTTTTAAAATCCTTTAGACTGTTTGCAGACACTTCACCTTACTAGTATCAAAATCCCATCCTATGCCAATTTGTAATGTTTTCTAGTCAGGATGCTTTGTATTGCTCCTCTGTAAAAGTTGCAAGAACTTGGCACTGGAATTTTGCCCTTGTTTAGTGTGTGGCATTTAGCAGCATCTAGAGGTGAAGTTGAAGATTGCAACCATTTGAGTACAGCTCAGTCTTCTAAGCATGCAGGAGAAACTACAGTGGCCACGGAACATGTGAAAAGCCCTACAGCTTTTTTAATTGCTAAGACAAATTTGAAATTGAAATTTAACTGTTAACAGTTTACTTAAATAAATTAATATAAATGTACATAACAAGTAAATAACAATAAATAAAACCTAACCCAAGTTAGTTGAGTTAGTATTCTACAAACTCCAGCTTCAAACTTAAAAAATGCTGCTGTCATCATCATCAGTGATCTCTAAATGTCAAGTCAATATGGCACATCACATCTTCTATTTATATCTGTGTGCCCCATCACTGGGGCGAGGCATGGGGTCACACAGGCAGTGGGGAACGGTGCATCCCTGTGCTTTCAAGTGTGTCACAGTGTCCTGTGTGTTTCCAGATGCTTTCCTTCTTTACACACAATTGTTTTTAAAAATGTGCAGATAGATAGATAGATAGATAGATAGATGGATAGATGGATGGATGGATGGATGGATAGATAGATAGATAGATGAACAAGCTCTTTCCATGTTCCAT